AAAGGCAACAACGAGAAAGAATGATAGACTCCATGAGAGTTTCTTCATCACTGAAGGCAAAAGGNGATAACAAAGTTTCACATTGTGGAGTAATCTAGAAACAGAAAGCAGCATACCTACAACCAGCAGGATGAAAAATATAGTCATGGAACCTTGCTGTTCCACCTCTGGAGATTCGGGTTTTTCCTCACCCGGGACCTCTGTTGTTGGGGGGATTTCCGTAGTGGTAGCTGGTGGCACTGTTGTAACGTTTCTGACTTCGCCAGTTTTTGTAGCATTTTCTCTGCTCAAGAAAGATACAAGGAGCTGTTAAACACCAACAAAAGCTGCAGAAACTGAGTGACATGAAGAAATAAGTGACCCGTATAAAGATAACAACAGGTACACATCGCAAATAATTTACCCCAAAGAAAAGTTCGTGCTTGACGAATCTACGCTTGGTTTCACACTTTGACACCACAAAACGCTGGCAAAGGCAACAACGAGAAAGAATGATAGACTCCATGAGAGTTTCTTCATCACTGAAGGCAAAAGGACGCCGATAATTATGATTTACCCTAATTTTTTTCATGAGTTGATCGAAGGACGTCAGCACTGGAAAATACAAGTTCCTGTTGCGCGCGCATATTTCTGCACGCGCAACAGGAACCAGTATGATAGCGGGCTCAACAGATTGGGGTCCGCTTCTATCAAACCTTTGGCCTAAAGTGGTCCCTAGGGCCGTCCCTAGGCGTTCTCTCTCTTGCGTGCAGGATTGACCGAGGGAACAGGCTGCACCTTATCAAGAGGTGGCAGTATTTTTAAGTCCGTTCCCTTTCCTCCCTTTCCTCCTAAGGCAGATTTTTGGGTATGAGCTAGTGAATAAGCAGGATCTCTGGGTTCCCTGTATAATGTATAAAAGGAAATTTTAAAATCGGGTTAAATTTTCCACGGCGCACACCAGAGCATACTAACAATGGCGTGGTAAGGAGTTTTTTAAAAATAGGCAATAAATTTTCCAAATCTACCGGCTAACACCTTGGTCTTCCTTATCAGTCACATCCCTTGATTCCATGGCTTTTTAAAATATATCAGACGAGGTTATACGAGAATTTAATGGAATGGCAACTAGATCAGAATACCGCAAAGGGCTGATTTATTTGAGGCCAATATTTCGGCTAACAAAATTACATCACACCAGCCTTGCATTCAGTTTTGTTTTAATTTCCACTTCAAATGACGTCTGGAAATAGCATCTCTACGTTAGAGATTCCATTTTCCTTGGTAAATACATCATCGATTTTATTGTAAAAATTACAAATGTCTTTTCAAACAGAGCAACTTCAGAACACTGGTCCACTTTACTCAAATTTATTTACATTGGGTGGGCCACGCCGAAACGTTTCTTTCACACCAAAGCCTCTCCAGGTCAGGGATTAAAAGCAAAAGGCCGCCCGCGAGGAGAACGCGAGACCACAAAAATATTGTTTTCGAGATGTAACCGCATTAGCAGAGATTCTTAGTGAACGGATCGCAACAGTTTTTTTTAAAATAAATATCAAAAAGAAAAAGAAAACCCTTTTTCCGAATAACCGGTTACGTATACTGTGCTTTCCAGTTTCCAGGACGTACTAAAAGTGCCGGAAATGGGAATTTTGCTACGCGTGTTTTATTTGTAACGAAAAAACAAATCTTTTACAAATAAATGCAGAAAAATATAACTGGCGGAGGGCCACCTACAAGAAAATCACCTATTACAAAACACCCTAAGACAGACATATAGCTTTCATAGCTTGTATACCCCATGGTTTTCCAGTTATTGCGCAGGTGATTTCATAACACCTTGGTATAGTCTTCAGCAGAAAGTGAATCAATAAGATACAAAGAGCTGAAATGAAAAAGACAGATGAGTGAGGTGGTTTCTGAAAACTCTGAGATCCCCTAAGGGTGCCATCAAATTACAAACTACATTTACACGTACTTGTCCAAACAAACAACAACAACAATACAGACTGTCCAACCTTTTAAGTATGTAAAATCGGGGTATTTTTTAATCACTGAGGAATCACGCAAGCACCAAAGGGGTGAGCCACTAAGGGGATCTGGGGGCATTTTCCCCAGGAAAAGTTTGAAATCTTGATGCTCTGAAACACCATTTCTAGTGTTCTGAGAGGACAATTTTTGTCTATGAATTGGTCCCTAAATCTTTTTCTTTTTTTATGCTTATTTTTATTTACGTGGCTTTGCTTACAGGAACTTGGACTTATGTTGTCTTTTTGGCAATTTTCTGGACATCAGTTTCAGTGAAATATACTCCGTTAGGAGTTCTACTATAAGTATCATAAGAATTAATTTGAAAATATCAGAACATATGTGAAAAAACCAGGATTTTTCCTATCCTGATCACAGATTGGTCAGGATTCGGGATTAAGCAAGATCAGGAGAATCCCGACGAAATCGGAATGGTTGAACAGTCCAACAATAGATGTCAAAAATTAGTGAGAACATACAGTTAACCCTCCATGTGCGACAACCTTTCATAAGGGACCAAATCTAATAAGTGATCACTTATCCAAAACAACAAAATCCAGCCAAAAGCCTCGACTGCAACCACTTTCAAGGATGGCGGTTTTAGAACTTTCCATTGGTCTTACTCTTCTAAGCAACCACCTCAGTGATATAATGACCTGATCTCTATGATCACTGTATGGACCATACTACTCAGAGTTTGAAAAGAACTTTTAGGAACAACATGGATTTGCAATGTACTCTTATATTGTAACCTAGTAATTTCATACAATACATTCTCTCATTATGTTCTCATGTTTCTCTTCAAAAAGTAACTGTGTCCAAACCTCTCCTGGTAAAAGTTTGACTCTAGTGAGCGATCACCTCCCATAAGCGACCCCCTCTTTGTATTTCAGGTGGTCACTCACGGGAGGTTTAACTGTATGTCGCTTTGATCCATAACTGAACAGACACATGGCAAAATGATATTAGTATAGGTAATAGCATGATTTGTAGTGATATTTAGCATATATATCACGAGTGATATTTTGAAATTGTTACACATAATTTCATAAGCCGTTAGACAAGTGAAATTTGAGACAATTTTGAAATATCAAAAGAGGTTTGTAATTTTCATATGTAGGTATTTCAAAGTAAACTAAAATACCACTGCTCTAAGCCAAACAAATTGAAGACATTTTTCATGTAGTAGTATAATTTACTTTATGGCATGACATACATACAATAAATTGTGAGTACCATTATGCCACTAGACAACCCACTTAGGTTTTTTGGTCAAATGGTATGAACACTTCAGCGTGCAAAGAAAGTAGTGTCCGATAGCCCGGGGCTAGTGGATTTTGCTATCGGGCTAGTGAATTCTGTTCTTAACTTGCCCGACAGGCAAGTGAAGTATTTTGAGGAATTCAACTTACAGAAGAACCGTGAAATCAATTCTGCTCATCAAAAAAATTGGGGGGCTAGTTGAAATGACGTTCGGGCTAGTAAATGCTAGCTTCAGCTTGCCCGAATGGCAAGCTGTAAAAATGACTTTCTTTGCACCCTGCCCTTGGAGCAGCTTATCAATACATATGCGCTATTGTCGACCAAAGGTGAGGTCAATTTCCAGCCATCTTGACCAAACAAGCATGGTCGATACAAGATTTATTATATCGCCAAAAACAGAGATTAATATTTTCTTGCGAGGAAGAAGCAGGCCATCCCAAGTCCATCTTGCCCCCTTGAGTAGCCAATAAGAATGCAGGATTCATTTCATCTTGCCCGCTAATGGAGCTAGCCATTTTTAAATGAATTAACCCATTCGCCCCTGGGGTTTTACCGAAAAACGTGTTTTAAAGCTAGTCAAGTGGATTTCTGGTCCTGTTGTGCTATGAAGAGCTACAACTCACCACTAAGCTGTTTACAGGTACAATTCATGGTACAATTCATGGCCTTCTGATGGCATGTGCAGAAAGCAAAATTTTGAGGTAGTTTTTGAGTTTAAAAGTGAAACAGCAGTCTTGACTTTTACTTTTTGTTTTCTCTCCTCCCCTTTTTTTCGCTTTTCTTGCCTCATGTTGTTTTTCTCTTCCTGGGCATTTAGTAGGCTTCATTTTGGGGGGAAAAGTTTTTACGAAAGATTTAAGGATCTTAGGATGAGATGAAAGGAGAGGTAGGAGGGTAGTGGAACGAGATTTTCATGGAAATTTTCAGGTCAATGTTACATGGTTATTTTGCCTTTTTCTTGCTCCGGCGTCCTTGAATGAATTGTGCTCATTCTGGTGTGGTTTGAAAGATCTCTTTACTCTGCACAAGTCTTTTGGACAAAGTTGTCCTTGACCATTTAAATAAGCCGTAGAAAAAACGTGGATTCGCAAGGGCGGTTAAAATTAAGGGCGGCTCAGGTGCGAATCGGTTAAAATAAATAAACTAAGGTCTATCCATGAATATGTAAGCTGGAGATAACAAAGTTTCACATTGTGGAGTAATCTAGAAACAGAAAGCAGCATACCTACAACCAGCAGGATGAAAAATATAGTCATGGAACCTTGCTGTTCCACCTCTGGAGATTCGGGTTTTTCCTCACCCGGGACCTCTGTTGTTGGGGGGATTTCCGTAGTGGTAGCTGGTGGCACTGTTGTAACGTTTCTGACTTCGCCAGTTTTTGTAGCATTTTCTCTGCTCAAGAAAGATATAAGGAGCTGTTAAACACCAACAAAAGCTGCAGAAACTGAGTGACATGAAGAAATAAGTGACCCGTACAAACATAACAACAGGTACACATCGCAAATAATTTACCCCAAAGAAAAGTTCGTGCTTGACGAATCTACGCTTGGTTTCACACTTTGACACCACAAAACGCTGGCAAAGGCAACAACGAGAAAGAATGATAGACTCCATGAGAGTTTCTTCATCACTGAAGGCAAAAGGACGCCGATAATTATGATTTACCCTAATTTTTTTCATGAGTTGATCGAAGGACGTCAGCACTGGAAAATACAAGTTCCTGTTGCGCGCGCATATTTCTGCACGCTCAACAGGAACCAGTATGATAGCGGGCTCAACAGATTGGGGTCCGCTTTTATGAAACCTTTGGCCTAAAGTGGTCCCTAGGGCCGTCCCTAGGCGTTCTCTCTCTTGCGTGCAGGATTGACCGAGGGAACAGGCTGCACCTTATCAAGAGGTGGCAGTATTTTTAAGTCCGTTCCCTTTCCTCCCTTTCCTCCTAAGGCAGATTTTTGGGTATGAGCTAGTGAATAAGCAGGATCTCTGGGTCCCCTGTATAATGTATAAAAGGAAATTTTAAAATCGGGTTAAATTTTCCACGGCGCACACCAGAGCATACTAACAATGGCGTGGTAAGGAGTTTTTAAAAATAGGCAATAAATTTTCCAAATCTACCGGCTAACACCTTGGTCTTCCTTATCAGTCACATCCCTTGATTCCATGGCTTTTTAAAATATATCAGGCGAGGTTATACGAGAATTTAATGGAATGGCAACTAGATCAGAATACCGCAAAGGGCTGATTTATTTGAGGCCAATATTTCGGCTAACAAAATTATATCACACCAGCCTTGCATTCAGTTTTGTTTTAAT